TCATTTTATATTTTTTATTGCATTATTTCTTTTCTACAATATTTGACTTCATTATAACATATTTTTCCGAAAATTGAGTATAGTGCGCCATAATTATTGGTAGGATATCAAGTGCGCCTTGATTCAAAAAGCTTGATAACCATTTCTCTACTCTCTCGCTATTTCCATGGAAAATATTCAAAGAAGCTACATTCCTTAGTTTAACCAATTCAGACCTTTACAGTTAAACATATCTCTACACTACGCTATTTCCATGGCAAACGTTCAGAGGAGCTACATTCCATAATTCCACTAGCTCAGACCTTCACAGCGAAGCATCTCTTTACTCTATCGCCATATCGATGGCAAATGTTCAGAGGAACTACAGTCCTTAGTTCCACCAGTTCAAAACTTCACAGCTAAACATCTCTTTACTCTATCGCCATATCCATGGCAAATGTTCAGAGGAACTACATTCTTTAGTTCCACCTGTTCAGGCCTTCAGATGATGTACATCCCTTAGTTCCCCCAGTTCAGACGTTTACTCCTAAGCATCTCTCTAATCTGTCGCTATTTCCATGGCAAATGTTCAGAGGACCTTAGTTCCACCAGTTCAAACCTTCACAGCTAAACATCTCTTTAATCTATCGCCATATCCATGGCAAATGTTCAGGGTGGGGTCAAAAACACTATGAATGTATAAAAATAGGTTTTAATGCCAGCAATACATTTTATATTGCCAGGAATACATTTTTGAAGAAAAATATTACCAGCAATACGTTTTTGAAAAAGAATTACCGGTAATACATTGTTAAAGAAAAAATTATTACCAGCAATACATTTTTGAAGGAAAAATATTACCAGCAATACATTAAAAAATATATTATCAGCAACAAAAATCTTGTCGGCATTAAATAACCCATTGAGGTTGATATGCCGTAAAAGAAAACAAAACAAGCCAAAGCAGGACTCAAAATAAACCTTTCCAAAACATAAACTATGATCTTGAATTAGAATGAAAACAGTGATAGCATCTACACTGAATTCGTCATAGAAATTACAATGCAGAAGTAGTAAAGATTAAACACGTCAAATACATTGGTGTGTGGATCGCTTATAAAAAATTTAGCATAAAAGATAAGAAAATGGAACGTACAATCGGTTGTACTAGAAGTAGTTTGAACTGTAAAATGTTGTGACATTGTCTTTTTGTATAAATCAATTATAACGCATTTAGCAGCGAAGAAAATTTAAGATAGAATAGGTTGCACTAGTGGTATTTTAACCATTCAGAAGTAAACTTTCATATTGGATGTCATGCATGTCGACAAAAATATCTAAACTGCCAGATGTATGCAACCACTTTCTCAGATCAATGATTAAAATAGCTTTCTCAGATCAATAGTTCAAATAGCTTTCTCAGATCAATGGTCAAAAATAGCTTTCTAAGATATTGATCTGAGAAAGCTAAAAGTTAAAATAGCTTTCTCAGATCTAAGCTAAAAGTTAAAATAGCTTTCTCAGATCAATGGTTAAAAATAGCATTCTCAATCAATGGTCAAAAATAGCTTTCTCAGATCAATGGTTAAAAATAGCTTTCTCAGATCAATGGTTAAAAATAGCTTTCTCAGATCAATAGTTCAAATAGCTTTCTCAGATCAATGGTCAAAAATAGCTTTCTCAGATATTGATCTGAGAAAGCTAAAAGTTAAAATAGCTTTCTCAGATCAATGGTTAAAAATAGCATTCTCAGATCAATGGTTAAAAATAGCATTCTCAGATCAATGGTTACATATATCTTTCTTAGATCAATGGTTAAACATATCTTTCTCATATCAATGGTTAAAATAGTTTTGAGTGAATGAAGTCTATGGATCTTGGCGAAGATCATACTTCTTCGAATCTCTTGGAATGGCGCTACAAAATCACAGAGTGTACTAAATAAAAGAAACTACATCACTTAAGGACCTTCACCAGCAGGAACAACTAAAATGGATAGCACATGTAACTCGAAGAGAAAAAGAAAAATCAAAAAAACAATCAAGATGTTGACAATCTACAATATTACAAACAAAAAGTTAGGAAGGAAATCAGTAGTGGAAAGAGCAATAACGGTTACTGGACTAAAGAAACCTATTTTCCTGGAAAATTGTTTTAATTGAAAAAATTTATAAAATTTCCACGGATAATAGCACTGGTTGCTCGGTTAATAAATGCTAAGGAAATGGCTAATATTACCTTTACTATTAAAGAAGAGATACTACACTTTGATCTCGATCAAATAGTCAGGAATTGGAGAAAAGCGTAAAAAGTTACACTGGCTGCTCGGTCAGTGAATACCGAATGTTTACATATAAAGAAATGGCAAATAATACCATTACCACTAATGATGAGGTGAACAGGTATTATACTTTGATTGATATATATATATATATATATATATATATATATATATATATATATATATATATATAAGTGAGCATTGAAGTCGACACTGAGGCAACAGGCTGTTTCATGCTGGACGCAATCGTCAGGCCGCCGTTTGCGTTCAGCATGAAACAGACTGTCGCCTCCGAGTACTGACTTCAATGTTCACTTTTATATTTATATTTACATACGCTCTATCTCTGATATTGACCATATTATCCCATAAATATAGCACACCTCTATATTTCTTCATACATATTCTTTCAACTCTCCCGTCCTATTCGATGTATGAGGGTCAAAGCAGCTCAGTTCATAGGAACAAATCATATGTGCAGGGGTTGTCTGGCTGTCGATTCCTAGTAACTGAGTTACCTGACCCTGAACGTCGTAAAAAGGTCCCCGGTAGGCGCGGATCAACAGTCCGCGTCCATCAATGACGGGAGAGTCCAAGATATTAAACTAGTAGACTTCATATGAAATATACGACTACAGCCTCACCACATTAGACCTTTCTGCTGTGGTTTCTCTAAAAATATTTTTTACTAAACGGAGTTGCTAACTCAACTAATTTTAAATTCACAATTGTCTTCCTGCTAGACTTGTTACCAGCTAAAGCTAGAGAGACCAGTCTACCCATAGCTAGTAGCGAGAAGAGATGGATTCATGCCTTTACCAAGAGTAAATTGTGCGAAATCAAAGGCAACAGACTCAGCTGGAATTTCGAGTTGACACGCGATTCCCACTTTCAGCGCTGGTAATCGCTACGCGCACAGACAAAGGATATTGGTCCATCTAAATTAAAAATGGGTTCGAGCGAATGATGGCTACAGCTCTTAGAGATGAACATCCTTTCCCGAACCTCGTAAACTGGCACTACACAATCACAAACAAATAACTGAACCAACTAACAAAATCCACATCACTTGAGAACTTTTAACAACAGCAACAATTAAAATGGATAGCACATGTAACTCGAAGAGAAAATAATGAAATGCTCAAGATTGTTACGAAATATACGTTATTTGAAAAAAAAAAAAAACTAAAAAAGACATTGCATTAAATTTTGCAACAATCTGAATTGGGAAAGGTTTCAGTGAATTGATTTTGATAATTTTGAGATACGACAAAATGATTTACAAAGCAGCACACTTTGAAGACAAACATTTGTATACTTCAGAGATGAATTAGAAAACATTGAAAGATTTGAGTTTGTGACGGATATAGATTAATGATAAAAAGCATTGAGAGAGACAGGTTGGTGACATTTCGTGGTGACATCCACACACCATAGACGATCTAATGTTAAAGATCAGAATAAGAGGGAGGGAGAGGAGAGGAAAGGAAAGAAGAAGGGGGGGGGAAGAGAGATGGGGCGGGGAAACTAAAATTGGACATTTACTGAAAGGGCCGATGTGTAATTAAGAAAATTTGACAAAATTAATATCGACTTCAGGTTACAAATCAAATTTAAAATATAAAAAAATTATGTTGATTTAAGCTATTTTTATATATATATATATATATATATAGTACATATATATATATATATATATATATATATATATATATATATATATATATAGTTTAAAATCAGGAGGTCAATTACAATACGCGACCACAGTTTCGACTTGGCTGTCTCTTCGGGCGATACTTTTAAAATGACCACTTTAATGCTTTATTTACAAAAAAACACACACAGACAAAGAATGCTACATAATTATCTTTCAAAAAATATCTTTAAAAAATGACATGCGTATGATGATTGAAAGACAGGACATTGTCTGTAATGGGAAGGAAATTGGAAAAAAAGGGGGAAGGAAAAAATGGAAAGGGGCAGGAATGCAAGTGCATTGTAAATGTATACAGTAAAAGGGGAATCAAATATGTAATTTAATTGTTATGGAAGGTGGGGGGTCAACGTTAGGACCTCTTGATTTTTAAACTGTTGTGTAGGTACCTACCACCCCTCTTGAAGATGAACTCGTCTACGAACAAGGACGTTAACGAGTGGCATGTAAAAAGACAGTAGTAGTAGAAGTTCTTTTTGCTGAGTTAGTTATAGACTACTCAGGCGATTTCTGTACCAACTTACCAACCGAATAAACCCCATTTTATTGTTACATGTTATTTGGCGTTTGTCTTTATTAACCCCAAATTAACATCATAACATAAACTTAAAAGTTCTACATGTTATTTTTTTTTTTTTTTTTTTTATTTTGTTCACGTCTGGTCAAAACCCGATGAAAGTGTAGAAATACATATTTATTGTGAAGGTGCCAGAAATACATTTTCATTGTAAAAAAAAAAATTACCAGGTTGGTGACAGAAAACATTTAAAATGCTGGGTTCGTGACGGAGATAGATTAATGATAGAAAGCAGTGAGAGAGATAGGTTGGTGACAGAAAACATTGAAAGAGCTGGGTTCGTGACGGAGATAGGTTAATGATAGAAAGCATTGAGAGAGATAGGTTGGTGACAGAAAACATTAAAAGAGCTGGGTTCGTGACGGAGATAGGTTAATGATAGAAAGCATTGAGAGCGATAGGTTGGTGACAGAAAACATTTAAAAAGCTGGGTTCGTGACGGAGATAGGTTAATGATAGAAAGCATTGAGAGAGATAGGTTGGTGACAGAAAACATTGAAAGAGCTGGGTTCGTGACGGAGATAGATTAATGATAGAATGCATTGAGAGAGACAGGTTGGTGACAGAAAACATTGAAAGAGCTGGGTCCGTGACGGAGATAGATTAATGATAGAAAGCATTGAGAGATATAGGTTGGTGACAGAAAACATTGAAAGAGCTGGGTTCGTGACGGAGATAGGTTGGTGACAGAAAACATTTAAAAAGCTGGGTTCGTGACGGAGATAGGTTAATGATAGAAAGCATTGAGAGAGACAGGTTGGTGACAGAAAACATTGAAAGAGCTGGGTTCGTGAGGGAGATAGATTAATGATAGAAAGCATTGAGAGAGACAGGTTGGTGACAGAAAAACATTGAAAGAGCTGGGTTCGTGACGGAGATAGATTAATGATAGAAAGCATTGAGAGAGATAGGTTGGTGACAGAAAACATTGAAAGAGCTGGGTTCGTGACGGAGATAGATTAATGATAGAAAGCATTGAGAGAGATAGGTTGGTGACAGAAAACATTTAAAAACGTGACGGAAAAGGTTTGATAAAAGCATTGAGAGAGATAGGTTTGACAGAAAACATTGAAAGAGTGTTCGTGACGGAGATAGGTTAATGATAGAAAGCATTGAGAGCGATAGGTTGGTGACAGAAAACATTTAAAAAGCTGGGTTCGTGACGGAGATAGGTTAATGATAGAAAGCATTGAGAGAGACAGGTTGGTGACAGAAAACATTGAAAGAGCTGGGTTCGTGACGGAGATAGATTAATGATAGAAAGCATTGAGAGAGACAGGTTGGTGACAGAAAACATTGAAAGAGCTGGGTTCGTGACGGAGATAGATTAATGATAGAAAGCATTGAGAGAGACAGGTTGGTGACAGAAAACATTGAAAGAGCTGGGTCCGTGACGGAGATAGATTAATGATAGAAAGCATTGAGAGATATAGGTTGGTGACAGAAAACATTGAAAGAGCTGGGTTCGTGACGGAGATAGGTTGGTGACAGAAAACATTTAAAAAGCTGGGTTCGTGACGGAGATAGGTTAATGATAGAAAGCATTGAGAGAGACAGGTTGGTGACAGAAAACATTGAAAGAGCTGGGTTCGTGAGGGAGATAGATTAATGATAGAAAGCATTGAGAGAGACAGGTTGGTGACAGAAAACATTGAAAGAGCTGGGTTCGTGACGGAAATAGATTAATGATAGAAAGCATTGAGAGAGACAGGTTGGTGACAGAAAACATTGAAAGAGCTGGGTTCGTGACGGAGATAGATTAATGATAGAAAGCATTGAGAGAGATAGGTTGGTGACAGAAAACATTTAAAAAGCTGGGTTCGTGACGGAGATAGGTTAATGATAGAAAGCATTGAGAGAGATAGTTTGGTGACAGAAAACATTGAAAGAGCTGGGTTCGTGACGGAGATAGATTAATGATAGAAAGCATTGAGAGAGACCGGTTGGTGACAGAAAACATTGAAAGAGCTGGGTTCGTGAGGGAGATAGATTAATGATAGAAAGCATTGAGAGAGATAGGTTGGTGACAGAAAACATTGAATGAGTTCGGTTCGTGACGGAGATAGGTTAATTATAGAAAGCATTGAGAGAGACAGTTTGGTGATAGAAAACATTGAAACAGATAGGTACATATGATCCGGTGCCCCTGCTATTTGCCTTGAGTTCCTCGGTAATATCCAAAGAAGAATCAGCAATATTATTGGTCCTGATCTGGCGGCTCGGCTGCAGCCACTTTCCCATCGCTGTAAGGTTGCCTCCTGTGTCTTTTCTATAAATACTTTTATAGTAATTATGGCTCTGGCACCTAGACTTTTTGAATTTGACACTGGCGTCAAGATCTCATCAATTTATACTTGAGCTAGATCGATATAACCATAAATTCAATGCTAACAGTTTCTTTTCTCGCACTTCTCGCTTGTGTCTTCATTCTTTCCAGCCAATTTTAATCTGCAAAAATTTAAATGCAATGTCCTCCTAATTCTTCCACACCCTGTTACCCTTTGTGTCTTAGTGGCTTTACTGCTTTGCATAGTGTGGTACCGATTTAAAAAAAAAAAAGGTACGTGACAGAGATTGGTTAGTGACAGAAAACATTAAAAAAAATGTTCGTGATGTAGACAGGTTACTGATAGAAAACATTAATAGAGGTCCGTGACGTGGATTGTTTAGTGATAGAAAACATTAAAAGAGACATTGAGACACGTTCGTGACAGAGATAGATTAGTGACAGAAAACATTAAAAGGGATAGGTTAGTGGCAGGAAACATAGAAAAAGGTTCGATACGGAAATAGTTTAGTGATAGAATACATTGAAAGAGGTTCGTGACGAACAATGGTTAGTGATAGAAAACATTGAAATGAGTTCGTGAAAAAAGTAGTTTAGTAACAAAAAACATTGAAATAAGTTCGTGACGGAAATAGTTTTTTATATGCATCTATACACTTTCAAATTAAATTTTATATATATATATAGAGAGAGAGAGAGGGAGAGAGAGAGATAGATAGATAGATAGATAGACTTTTTGAATTTGACACTGGCGTCAAGATCTCATCAATTTATACTTGAGCTAGTGTAAGTATGACAGTGTGGGACGAATGTTAGAGCTAAAGAGAGGGGTCACAGACGAGAGAAGGTGGGAGATTAAACCTTAACAGAGAGAAATTTAGGAAGGGGAAAATATGAATGTTGTCGGGATGTCTAATACATTAAAGATATATTTCGTGGTGACATGTGTGTGTGTGTGCGATAGCCAAAATTATACCACGTGGTATAATTTTGGCTATCGCCTATAAATATGCGTTTCCCTTTGCCTCTTTAGCCGGCTTTCCCTGACGATCCGTTTAGGTGAAACCTGGGTAGGTTTGTCTGGCTCACTGGGTGTATCTAGGTCTGCTCTACGGTTGTATTGAGCTCTTTTAGTTAGTTGTTTACTCGTATCGGGGTTTTTTCTTTGAGCTTCAAACCTGTATCTGTGCGATTTTTTTCGACAGACTTTCATGTTTCTAGCTCTTTCTTTTTTTAAAACCTTTTTTCCTTCGAGATTGATTTAATTATTGGCAAATCAAAAAATTCGAGGGTTTTTCGAAACGAGTATAGTTATCTATATTTGTATTTTTTATATATATATATATATATATATATATATATATATATATATATATGTGTGTGTGTGTGTGTGTGTGTGCGTGTGTGTGTGTGTGATTAAATTATGTCTGCTTATTTTTAATAAAATCCTTCATACTCACGGATAAGCTGTTCCTCCTGCTTCCGTATGTTGAAAGTTATAATTTAAATGTGGCTTTGTAAAAAGGCAGATTGAAGTAACTAATAATAACTCCTAATAAACGGAAGCAGGAGGAACACCTTATCCGTGAGCATGAACGGATTTTATTAAAAATAAGCAGACATAATGTCTGTAATTTATTTAATCACACATGCCTAAAAGAGAATTTGCTGCCTAAATACACACACACACACACACACACACACACACACACACACACATATATATATATATATATATAATAAAAAGGCTTAAGCACTAATATTCCATGGTCATAATTTATTCCATTGGAATCGTAAATACGATCCAATTCATCAGTCCTACAAATTCAAAAAGAAAACAGAAAAAACAACTCCGGAAATAAAAACTAAAGAGAGGGGTAACAGGTGAGAGAAGGTGGGAGATTAAAACTTAACAGAGAGAAATTTAGGAAGGGGGAAATATGAATGTTGTCGGATGTCTAATACATTAAAGATACATTTCGTGGTGACATCCACACACCATAGACGATCTAATGTTAAAGATCAGAATAAGAGGGAGGGAGAGGAGAGGAAAGGAAAGAAGAAGGGGTGGGGGAAGAGAGATGGGGCGGGGGAAACTAAAATTGGACATTTACTGAAAGGGCCGATGTGTAATTAAGAAAATTTGACAAAATTAATATCGACTTCAGGTTACAAATCAAATTTAAACATATAAAAAAATTATGTTGGATTTAAGCTATTTCCTTATATATATATATATAGTACATATATATATATATATAGTTTAAAAATCAGGAGGTCAATTACAATACGCGACCACAGTTTCGACTTGGCTGTCTCTTCGGGCGATACTTTTAAAATGACCACTTTAATGCTTTATTTACAAAAAAAACACACACACAGACAAAGAATGCTACATAATTATCTTTCAAAAAATATCTTTAAAAAAATGACATGCGTATGATGATTGAAAGACAGGACATTGTCTGTAATGGGAAGGAAATTGGAAAAAAAGGGGGAAGGAAAAAATGGAAAGGGGCAGGAATGCAAGTGCATTGTAAATGTATACAGTAAAAGGGGAATCAAATATGTAATTTAATTGTTATGGAAGGTGGGGGGTCAACGTTAGGACCTCTTGATTTTTAAACTGTTGTGTAGGTACCTACCACCCCTCTTGAAGATGAACTCGTCTACGAACAAGGACGTTAACGAGTGGCATGTAAAAAGACAGTAGTAGTAGAAGTTCTTTTTGCTGAGTTAGTTATAGACTACTCAGGCGATTTCTGTACCAACTTACCAACCGAATAAACCCCATTTTATTGTTACATGTTATTTGGCGTTTGTCTTTATTAACCCCAAATTAACATCATAACATAAACTTAAAAGTTCTACATGTTATTTTTATTTTTTTTTTATTTTTTATTTTGTTCACGTCTGGTCAAAACCCGATGAAAGTGTAGAAATACATATTTATTGTGAAGGTGCCAGAAATACATTTTCATTGTAAAAAAAAAAATTACCAGCAATGTATTTTTGGAAAAAAATTAATAAAAAGAAAATAAAAATTAAAAATTTACCAGCCATATATTTTTTGCAAAAGAAACTACTAACGCTCCCAAGAAAATTAAATTTCGGCATTAACCCCTTCCCAGCCAATTATTTTGGGAAAAATGTGGCAATTTCAGGCCAATCTGTAAATTTGTTTTTAATATAGTAACTAAGAAAATGAGGCACTTTAAAGTAACCGAACGGTAACACCTCTGACTTTTAACTGGACTCGTTTCAATCTCAGAAAAGCATGAAAAGAATCAAGATCGTCGTATAAACATGTCTGTCGCTGATGTGTTTATTTGTCCGTCTTTGAAAAAGAATCATTTTCGGTAAAAACGCATATACACGTCGCCACCGAGGAAGGGGTTAAATGACCCATAAGGAGTTGATAAAGAAAACAAAGAAAACAAAATCTACACATTTTCCCGGGCAGATTATAATGTAACGCCCTCAGCTAAAAATAATAAATAAAATAAAACAGAATAAAAACAGATAAGTAAATTAAAAATAGGAACGAACTGGATGAATGAGAGAGCAACAATGGAATACTGGTCACAGCTGTAGCCAAAGACTTTCTTCGGTGCTGCCTGATTTACTTACCGGAATTTCACG